GGTCCGTTCGACAGCGTCCTGCCCTCTGCATCCAGCGAGGGGATGCAGGGCACCGCCTCTCCCCGTCACCCCATTTACACAGCACCACAGCAGCTGGGAAAGGATGGGTACCAGATCCTGTTCAAACTGCATCCTCCTATGGAGCAGGGGCTGGGAAGGCAGATATGAGGCACTCAACCAGCAGTGAGAGAGTAACAGAAAACACAACCAATAAAAAATCCCAGCTGTTTATGGCAAAAGGAGGTTGACTTTTTGGAAATGGAGATCTCATTAAAGAATGGAGTACGTCTGAAGAAACTCTGTTAGGCGAGACTACTTTTCTTTAAGAAGTATTGTGTTCTGGCCCATCCATGTGTATCAAAACACGCTACACCAAGCATCACAACAGATCCGCACACCGCTTTCCTACCCTGTGTGACTCCAGATGCGGAGATAACACCTAGAATCACCTCCCCTGAGAGAAGCACAGAGCAGGAGCCAAGGGGGAGCATTTGGCGAGGCAGCTGGCGTGGTCAGCACTCACCTCCAGCTTCTTCTCCTTCTCTGTCAAGACGTCCTTCTGGTTCTGGGTGTACTCGATCAGCATCCGTGCCAGCTGGCGCCGGTCCTCCAGCTCGGCCGCCAGCCGCCCGTTGTACTCGGCGAGCAGCAGGCACGCTTCGTCCACCGTCTTGGAGAGGCGCTCGGCCGCCTCTTTGTCTGCATGCAAACACGGGGGGGAATTCAGAGCGCAAAGTTTAGAGCTTTACCTTTGACAAAAGGGTCACAACTCAGCGGACTCACGCTCAGTGACATCTCGTTGGTAAATACACTTCTGGCTGGACAGGAAAAGAAGAGTTCTTACCACAGGGGATACAGAGGAAACAGGCAGCACCGACAGCCCAAGAGCGGTGGGTTTGAACATGACTGCACTTTGTCCTCCTAGAGGTGTCAATGACTGGGCAGGGGGAATAACTCCATCAAGTTTGCCTCTGTAGACAGGTTAGACTACAACTCCAGAATTCAGTTAAACCAGTCAGCTGGTTTTCACATTTAAACACGGTGTGCACTTTTTAATTCCTCTTTTCTCCAAGGAACCCCTAATGTATCAACACAAGCAAAGGTGTGAATTGCAGACTGCTCTTCACAGTTGGACACTGTAAGAGCCATCATAAAGGACTGAGTAAATGGCAGCTCACAATGAGTTCCAATTAAAACTACCTCCAGGAACAAGAGTCAAACCAGTTCAAGCTTTAAGTGCTTCTATCCAGATCACTCTCCAAATACCACCGCAGAATTCTGTTTAAACAAAGACTGACAGTCTAACGGGGGTAGCGGATTTCCCTTTCCGCAGCAATCACGGAGCACTTGTGTACTCAGCGTAGTCTGATAAAACTCAGACAGATCCAACAGGCGAGGTGTTCAAAACCAAACACACCCATCCGAGAACTCTGCCCCCGTTTCCTTCATGTTCTTGTGAAATGCTGGCGATGCTCTCGAGCACAAAAGCCTCAGTCCGGGCCAGAAACCTGGCAAAAGCCAGATAAGTCTTATCTTCAATGTTACTTCACAGGATTGCTATCTGTTAACCACCCAAAACGAGGACACAAAAGCAGGAATTCGGTCCATCAACACTGATTATGTAAAGAAAGAAACCCCTTCGATTTCGGACCCACGTTCGCTCACCTCCCAGCCCGTACCTGTAATTTTCTCCAGTAACGAAACATCTTGAACTTCCTGAGGCAGGGAGGCAATTTTCTGCCGCACCGTTGCATCTCCTGACGCTGCGTTTTCCAGGTCTTGCAGGGCTTTGATCAAATCCTCGGTCTACAAGAGAAGCAGCCAGCATGAAAACCAGGCCCTTCGCTGCCATTTCCTGTGGACGTGGCCACTGCGTCCGAGGTCACCTCCCTCTGAAAACAACCATTTCTGGAATATTTCCCTCAAGTAATTCTTAGGCTGTTGCTTCCCGACACAGGGAGTATTCACCAAGTTCACAATACCCCAGTGTTTAGCAGCTTATGCACAGTCACAGCAGGATCATTTTATTCAAGACTCTGCAGTGGAAAACTCCTCACTCCAGTTAAGAGAAGTGGAAATGTAAGACAAAGCTGGAAAATACACGACCACCCCACCCTGAGGAGCAGCCAGCAGCTCTGTGTGCTGCATCAGGATGGGATCCTGTCCTTCAGCTGAGCACCCCTGACGCTTGCTTTTAGAGCAGCGGGAGCGCACATGGGGCATTCTGACATCGCCCAAAAAACCCAAACCTGTATCAGTCCAAACACAACTGTGTCAGATTTCCACCACTGTGGGATTTAGAACCTTGTAACTGGTTACCCACCATAACCTTTGATGCCAACGAACGTTATCCCTGTTAGAGGAAACTTCCTACTGTCCTGATTGTGCAAAGCCATCGCTGTCCTCACTTATCTGGACTGGGGAAACTCGCTGCAGCTCAACTGGACTCCACTGCACCCCCTCCACTTCATCTCTCAGCTGGTTTTAGTGCATTGAGGAAAACTGCGTCACTTTAAATGAGTGCACTTGAGTGCATCCCAGCTTCAAGAGGACGTGGATGAGGGCAGGCTGAGGAGGATGAGGACCTCCCCTGACACACCAGGTCTCTTCTCTGCCCAAAAACTTGTAAACCGGAGCAACAGCAGGAGCACCAGCCCTGTAAACAGCACCACTGATGTTGAAACGACATTCCGGTTGTTTGAGAACTAATAAAACCGCTGAGAATTCTTAAATAAATATTTCTTTAATCTGAGAAATAAAGAAGTCCATTACCTAATATTTAGCAGCTTTGCAAACTGCTAATGATTTCCAACAGTAACAAACAATGCTTATCATCAAGAGGAACCACAAGCTGCAAGGCATCTGGAGGTAAAAACAACCAAAAACCCTCACTTATTTCCTTGACAACTGCTATTTATTTTTATTTCTCGGTGTTTGCAGTCTAACAGATGGATGGTGTGCTTCTTCATCCTTTTCAAATAGACAAGGGTTTAACATATGCTCATTTTGTAGCCACAAATGGTCAGAACGATCCTCTATCTCACTCCTGCTATTTCCACACCACTGACACGTCAGACTTCAGAACTGGTTTTTCCCAACCAACTCCATCCAAAGCTACCAAAGGGGTGGGCTTTTTCATAGCTCATGGAGAGAGATGTCTTAAATTGAGTTTTAACCGTGTTACAACTTTGGGTTTGGGAGATTAAATTCTTTCCAAGATCAAGGGGGTAAAATGTGGTGTGTCCTTCCTGCAGCCCTTTGGGGTTCACAGAATCCCAGAACGTCAGGGATTGGAAGGGCCCTCCAAAGCTCATCCAGTCCAATCCCCCTGCCGGAGCAGGAACACCCAGATGAGGTTACACAGGAAGGCGTCCAGGTGGGTTTTGAATGTCTGCAGAGAAGGAGACTCCACAACCTCTCTGGGCAGCCTGGGCCAGGGCTCTGTCACCCTCACTGAGAAGAAGTTTCTTCTCCAATTTCAGTGGAACCTCCTGTGTTCCAGTTTGTGTCCGTTACCCCTTGTCCTATCATTGTTTGTCACCGAGAAGAGCCTGGCTCCATCCTCGTGACACTCACCCTTTAAATATTTATAACCATGAATGAGGTCTCCCCTCAGTCTCCTCTTCTGCAAACTAAAGAGCCCCAGCTCCCTCAGCCGCTCCTCAGAAGGGAGATGCTCCACTCCCTTGATCATCTTTGTAGCCCTACGCTGGACTCTCTCCAGCAGTTCCTGTCCTTCTTGACCTGAGGGGCCCAGAACTGGACACAATATTCCAGATGCGGTCTCACCAGGGCAGAGCAGAGGGGGAGGAGAACCTCTCTGCCCTACAACCACCCCTCCTGATACACCCCAGGATGGCATTGGCCTTCTTGGCTACAAGGGCACAGTGCTGGCTCATGGTCATCCTGCTGGCCACCAGGACACCCATTCCTGGGTCGGGACCACCTGAAACCACCCAGCAGGGGCACAGCGTTTCCTATGAAACAGAGCCTGTCCCATGTCCCAGGGGCTCCTCACCCCCCAGTCTCCAGTCACACATTTCCCTTGTTGGCAGCTCCACCTTGTGGCTGCACCACCAGGAGGTGGCCCCCACCCAGCACCTCCCGTCCCATGTCCCATGTCCCACCTACCAGCAGCGGCCCCGCGCTGGGGTCTTGGGGCGAGTAGCTGCCAGGGTAATCATCATCTTCCTCCTCCTGTATCTGCTGAAAAGTCCGCTTCAGAGACTTCTTCTCCTCTGCAACTGAAGACACAGACAAGCAACTCACTTGGGTGCCAGATCTGCCCACCTGAAGTATCTCTACCTCAAAAGCACTGCACCAGGCGAGAGCTGACGGGACAGAGACCAGCAGACAAAGCAGTCAGCTCTGAAATGGCTTTTTGGGCACGAGTCGCATGACATAAATGTGGACCGCTGTGCTTTTTTCCTTGGCATTGAAAACCAGGGGCAGCAGAAATCTTTATTGAACGATCCCAGAAACACCATCTCCATTGCACCAGAAGGGACAAAAATCCCATGCTTATTTTCAAGTCCAAGGGCATACGGTGGAAAAGGACCTGTGAGGAGAGCAGGAAGCCAGGCACACGTTACAGCACGCTGGGTGGCTGTACCTGCTAGCCAGGGGTAAAGCAACATTGCAGCCTACGCTTCCAAAAAAGCCTGTCAAACCCAACAGGAGGAAAGCGAGCATTAACAGTGTCTAAAACTAACCAGGAGTCAACAGCGGTTGTAACCCCCATCTTCTGAAGCAGTCAGGATATCATTGCACAACACGGACAGCTTCTTCCAGGAAAACCAAGAGCCCATTCCTCACACAGACATAAAGAAGGCAGTGAAGCCACTGCTGGAGATGAAGGCAGCTTCCCTGCTCCACCGGGCTCCTCTTCACAGCTCAGAAATGGAGCTGCTCCTGAGAGCCTTCAAAGAGCAGAGCACTTCATTTCTCCAACGACAGACAACGGCTGCCGAAACAGCTCCGCAGTGCAGCTCCAGGTCGTTGTTGGCCTTGCTGCTGCAGTGTCGAGGCTCCTAACAGTATTTCTCCACCAGTATTTCAGTCTTCAAACCATCCCTGGTGGCTTGAGGAAGCTTTTACAGCGCCAGAGACCTTGCTGACAAATACGAGCTTCTCCTGCAAGCTGGCAGTGGGGAGATCTGCCCCTCCAGGGTGTTCCCCCATTTGTTCTCATCCCCTGGCTGCTTTTAGAGGTAAACGGGCTGCTTTGATTTGACCCCAGGCTCATGAGCACAGTAAAGAGAAACCAGCTGCAAATCAGCCTGTGCATGTTCAAAAGGATAACTGGAGTTTAGAACTTTGCTCTGTTGAAAAAACCCTACATAAACCTACTGGTTTTAATCTCAAGGCAATGTGAAACTATTATCTTCCCTCCTGAGGACTTGGTTTCGTTCATCTCCTCATTCTGTGGTATGGATCTCCTCACATATTCACAAATGCCTTCCACTGAGGGAACTACGCAAAGGTTCAGATTTTTAAAAACCAAACAGCCCTTAATGCACCTGAGGATTTCTCAGCCTCGGCACAGGTACATCACAGGCCTTTTCTGACAGTTGAGTATACAATTAGTATGACAAGCACGAGCAGAAACCTCTGCCCGCAGGGGAACCTGCAAGGAAACCCCTTTAGCAGACCCCGCAGCTGTGAGCAGCAGGCAGACCCCCACAACAGGGGCACGGGAAGCTCCACAGGTAAGGGTCGGCTTGAGAGGCAGAGCAGCTGGATGTAGGGGCTTTGGTACCTGCTGGCAGGGCCACCACCCTCAGCCAGCATAACAAAAACAAGCCTCCAAAACTGTAACTAAAACTAAACTCTCGTAGGCTTTAGGTTCCAACCGCCAGGACTTAGAAACATACACAAGATCCAAGTAACTTACACGAAGGGCACTTCTGAAAGTGATTTGTGACAAAACACTGCCCACAGCACCAACGACACAACAATGCCTGCAGCCCCACAGCCAGCTTTCCTGTCGAAAGCAGAAGGCACAGAAGAACAAAGCCAGAGAAAGCCAAAGGCCCCGCGTATCTCCCAGCTGTTCTGCCCCTGTGTTTCTGGGGGTTGATTACTCATGACTCTTTAATTTCCCATTACAACACACACTTGTTGGTAGCCTCCCCTAGGTGAGGCACAGCTGGAGTTGATCTGCTCCAAAATCACACTCGCTCCATGCCCACGTCCCTTTATTCCAGTTACTCCTGCCCGCTCTCCTCTCTGATGTTTCTCTCCATATTTTAACGTGGGTCTGACTTCCCGTGTCAGGATTTGTGCTCCAGACCCAGCAGGAGCTGGGTATCAGCTCAGAGCTGTGTGACAATGACACTCCTACAGCACAGCACGTTCAAGGACTTCCCTTGAAGTGAAAACTCGCCGGCTGTACGGGTTGTGTTACTGAAAGGATTCTACATCAAACCTCCACAGACCCAGTTTTGCCAGGCTTTAAGATAAATGGGCATTTCTCCTCTTCCCTGTTGCTTGTAAAAAGAGAGAGCTTAATAAAAATGAGATTAATGAGGGAGCAAATGCAAGCTTAATGAATACATTTAGAGTTATAACAATATAAGATATCAATATATAAAAGCTCCTTTCCATGTATCTCAAGGCACCCAAAAGGCTGCGACGCTCTGCACCCAAGCAGAGCTGTCCTCTGCCAAAAGCAGCACTGCCCATCCACTGCAACAGGAAAAAGCCACAGAGCACCCCCTGCACGGCCCTGTCCCCAAACTCAGGCTGGAGAAAGGAATAGACCAGGTACCCCTAAGGAGCTTCAAAACTTGAACAGCACGGCCTTGCTATGGTTTTGATATTTTAGATAAACATTATATCTATAGAACATGACACCTTAGTGTCCATCCTTTGAAAACGGAACAGAGTAACTGCAACAAAGCCTCCTGCAACTGACGTCACCCACCAGAAACTGGACAACCCCCAGTTTACCTTCGAAATCCCTACAGTTCCCACGTGAACCCAGCTTGCACCATTATGAAGCTGATTTGAAAACAAGCCAGGCAAAACAAGAGGAAAATCTCAGGAGAACTTTGCTGAGTTCTTCAAATTTCTTTTTCTCTTAGGTTAAAATATCTCCATTTCTTTTCTCCAATGAACTGGCAAGAAAGCAGCAGCATTCACTGCTCCCCCAAACGAAGGGCACCACATTAATATCTGCAGTGACCCAGACAAAAGCTAAGTTTCTCGCCAAGTGAAGATGCACACACAGCAGTTCTAAGATGTTTGTATTCTTCACTCCGTTTCCCACAGACAAAGGTCTGCCGCACTTCAGAAGGGTTTGGTTTTGAATAAACATGTTTAAGTTGAGAAGACACAGCAGCAGCACTGATGGAGACCCACAGCCAAGGGAGGACCACACCAGTGCACCAGAAATCCCAGCTGTGCTCCTTGGACACACATTATCACTTGGTTTAGCTTAAAATTAAACACTTGTGAAACTCTTCTGTAGGTACCTGAAATGAGCAGCTTCCAGGCCTGGGTTAATCAGTTCCACGGGAATTTGGGCAGGTAAATTCTGTCTGTTCATGACAAGCAGGCATCCTGTGCATCGCACCCAGCCACAGCAAACCCCACCACCCCGCTCCCCACACAGCTCCCACGCTGGCCACTGCGCAGAGACCTCCCTGTCCTCACACACAGGGGCCAACCCCCTCGGCCAGGCCCTGGCTCCCAGCACTGAGGAAACCTCCCAACATGGGGAAAAACTTATTTACTGTGAGGGTGGCAGCGCATGGCCCAGGCTGCCCAGAGAGGTTGTGGAGTCTCCTTGTCTGCAGACCCCCAAAGCCCTGGCCATGTTCCTGCGTGTCTGCTCTGGTGATCCTGCTGTGGCAGGGGTTGCACTGGGGGAGCTTTCCAGGGCCCTTCAACTCCTGATACTCGGTGATTCTGTGAAAGGCCCAACCTCCTGAACACCACACTGCAGAGAGTGAGCTGGGAGCCTCTGCTGCGAGCTGCTGAAGCACCCACACAGCCGTTCTGCCTGAAGCAGCACCTTAAAGCACACAGAACCACAGCCACAGATGTAATCTTCACATGCACGTCTCACGCTAATGCTCACATCTTCACGTTAATTCTGTGCTAATCACCAACTCCAGCAGACACATCCTGCTTGTTTTCACCATCTCGGAACGGCGTAGGAGCTGATTATTACTGATGATTAATCCAAGTCTCTCACAAAACATCACAGCAAAGTGGTCAAAGCAGCGATGTGATTTCAGCTGACTTGAAGACACTGACACTTCCTTTAGCTGTGAACAAATATTCCCTGACCAGAACACACTGGATTGTTAATGACCCTCCCTTGCCATAGGTTAAGCATCCCCACTGCTGCCCTCTTTTCATTACAATACTGCCCGTTAAATATATTCAGATGCTATAGAAGAGGCAGTAGCTGCTAAAGCAGGACAAAAGCACAGTAAACGCAAGAAGCTTATACCGAGTTTCTCACATCCGTCTCACACAATAACAAAGTTATAACCGTGATGTTTTAATTATGTTAAATGACACAAAGCTCCTGTTTTCCCCAAATGACGCCAGCTAGGTGAATAAAAAGAGACCAGACAAGCCTCTGGGCATACATTGCAGCCCTCAGTTATTAAAAAGTCCTTGTCGAATCCCAGTAAAATATACCAACTATGCAAAGAAAAAACAACAAGAGAATGAAAGCACCAGCACTACTGAACAAAACACTGTGACAACCCAGTTGGCCACCCTCGGAGATCAGAGAGGGACAATTTTAACCCAAGCTGGACACAGCAGTTCCCTGCACCGTTTGCCTCCACATCCAAAGGCAGCCCTGGAGCTGCATGAGCAGCAGCAGAAATTACCTCAGCTTCAGCTTTCTGCCAGCCACGAGTCACACAGCAACCGATGTGCAAACCCAAGCTGCGGGTTCAACACGAACCAGCCTCTCTCAGGACAACCCCAAATGATCTCCATGATTTGCTCTGGCAGCAACGCAACCACAACCCCCAGAGCTCACCCCCTCACAGCACTCACAGCGAAACACCACCAGTTTAAAGCCCAGGACAAGAGCAACCCGTGCTCACCTTTGGTCTGGGGGCTGTTGGAGTCTTCCATGGAAAGCTTCAGCTGCTGGATGAACTCGCTGCCATACACGCTCCTTTCTTGCCAGATGTTAAGCAGCCTTTCCAAGGGCTTTTTGCAGCCCTCATCTGCTTCTCTGTTCAGAGATTAGAAGATAATTACAGTTCAGCTGAAAAATATTCCTCGTTTTAAGAGAGCACCTTCAAACCAGCAGCTGCACCCGTTGCAGTATCTGTACATCTGGAGAGAATCTCTCTCATATTGGCCAAGACAAACTGTGCAGAACGCATCTGTGGCCAATTTCCCCCTTCATCACAACCAAAGATGGCCTGAAAGCACCCCACATTCCCACCCTAAAGTAAAGGCAGGAAAGGTTTTGAAGGAAGAAACCTGCCATCATCCAGAATTGGCAGGAAGCTATAAAATACCCCCAAGCTGACGTGTTTACAACTCAGAGTATTAACTTTAAACAGTTGTTTCAGTCAATAACATCCCAATTAAAAAGCAGGTTGCCCGGATCATTAGGCACTCAAATGTACTCAAATAGAGCACTGAAAGTGAGAGACAGCCAGGCAGCACAGCACACCGCCAAACACAGGCGGCATTAAAGTCGTTCACTTGGGAGAACAGGAATTATTACACTATTTGGAGAAAATCTGAACTAAACGATGGCCCATTTTTGCTGGGATGGTGCCTGCCTCACTTCTTCCCTTTCAGGTATAAAATTCTTCCTTCCTCCAGCAAGGAGAGCAATGGTAACCGCTAAAACATGCGATACAAAAAGAAACCGTGCTCAAACCAGGAGATGTGAGAGCCCAGAGACCCCACAGCTCAGCTCCTCAAGAGTCCTCTGACAGTGGGGAGAGCCACTCACTGCGTGGCTTCCATAGACACAGGCGGTTATGGAGCTTCATCACCCACAACCTCAGTAACAAGTAAAACAAAGCACAGAGGAGCTGTGTGCAGGGAACAAACGGGCAGAGCTCACACACAAACAAGTTTAATATTGGCATTAAACAGCTCCTGCTGCAAAGTACTCAGAGCCCAACCTCTGCCAAAGGGAGCCTACAAAGCATCCCTGAGACTTTAAAAACAAACACCCCTCCAAAATTCATCAAATTCAACTCTGCAAACCAAGAATGCAAATCTCTAGGGAGAAAAGTTGCAGAAATGGGTAACACAGCAGCGTACCTGGCAACGTGAGAAAACGCATCCACGAGAACAGACTCGAACTCCCTCGTAAACTCGGGACCTTTCCTCTTGCTGTTCTGGATGACATCGTTTGCTAAGTATAGGAAAGTAAGCTTCCTACTCGATTTTGCTGGGAAAGGGGAAAAAAAGAAAGAAGAAGAAGGAAAAAAAGGTAAAGTTTTCATTTATTTCTCCCTTCTTTCACCTGGAATCACCAATGTGGCTTTCAAAGCTGCTTACAGATTTCAGTCTAAAAGCAAAGTCCAAAATATTTCCATGTTACCAAGGCAAACCAGAGGCCTTGAAGTTGTTGTTGGAGCTGGAGGTCAAGCAGTTCTGCATCTTCTGCTCGGTTTGTCTAACTAGTTTATAAAACAAAGATCAGCTTAACGCCTTGTGCGCAGCGAGACCTCAACCGTGAGGAAGGCTGTGAAGAAATCAACTTCAAACACAAGATTAAAAGAAGCTCCTCTAACCCACCAGCTAATTAATATAACAATACTTATTTTTCATTAACTAACTTCAACAAAAAACCTGGTATAGAACCACTTAGCACAAAGCGAAATTGCAGGAGAAAGCTACTGTGGAGACTCGAATATTTTGCAGACAACGCTGTGCCAGAGCAGCACGAGATTTCCTCCGTGCACCGTGGTGCTTCCCACCCTGACCCCTTGGTTTCTATTTTATTACAGGCAGAATGGGCAGGAGATGTGGATCTCCAGAGCTGTCGTGAACACACACACGGATAAGAGAACAAAAGCACTTATTTCCTCAGCAGCGCAAAGTCAGATCTCTCAAAAATTCACACTTAATATACTACAGATAGCAACTCTAGTGATTGCATGAACTATCCCTGCAGCGAGGGCCTCATCAGCACCATCCAAGGGCTCCTCATCCAGCTCCAAGGGGCTGACGCTGCCCAGTGCCCACACCAGTGCCACGGACTGGTTTACAGCCACCCCAGGGACAGGGCACCAGCAGCCTCCCTGACCTCGTACGAGGCAGTTTGGGAAGTTACCACACGTTAGCTTTGGGAAGTTAATCTACAAGGGGAAAAAAGCACAAAACGTTTCTGTACGATGACACCAAGCCGCTCATACAGACTTTTACTTTGCTTACCTCCTAAGCCGTAGTGCAGTCCTGTAACGGGTAAGCAGTGCGGCTCCAAACTCAACATTTCAAAGCGAACCCTAAAAGCCTCCCGAGCACACCCCGGGACAGCGCTCGGCCCAGCTTTGTTCCCATCGCAGCGGCCCGGCCCAGCGCCCTTCCCTTCCCTCCTGTGTCCAGCGGTTCCCCCTCGTCCCAACACCGCCCCAGCGGTTCGCACCCCCCTACCTGTGCTTGATACCCCCGGGAAGTTCAATAACAACCACAGCGG